CCAAGCCCCGCCTCCCGCATCTTTCCCGGCCCCAGGCGGAGCGGAGCCTGGTCCGCGTCCAAGCGTTTCGCGCCTCCGGAAGGAGGCAGCGGACCAAACAGGCAGTTCCCTGGTTTTGTTTGTTTTAAGCGGTTTCCGAGAAGCTTTCCAGTTCCCGGAAAACGGAGGCTGAGGACGCGTCCCAGGCGCCTCTCCCGGGCCCAGAGCCTTGGGCGGGGAGGCGGGGCGCGGGGGAGGTTTGAAATTGAGACCCGCGGCGCCCGCGCGTGTTTACGCGAAGCTCGAGGCTGCTACGCGCAGTTCCATCGCGGGGCCGTGGGGCGAGGCCTTTGTATCCGCGATAGAGCTTTGCTTTGAGATGCATGTGAAAAACACAGAAATGATTTTTTCCAGCTCTCCCAAATGCAGTGCTGTAATTTGCAATGCATCGATTCTCCCCCAATTACCTGTAATATATGATCCAACTTATTTTAAAAGTTGCTTAATTTTCTAGACTCTTTAGGATTTAACCATTACAAGAATGTTTCATTTGTCACAAGGCCAAGTTAGAGTTTAGAAAAATATCTATTTTCTGTTATGCTTAGGGCTTTCTCTCTTCACTTGGAATACCCAGAATGTTCTTTCTTATCGTTTCTTAGCAGTCACTACCACGTACAGGAGACGGCATAAGGAATTCAGCTTATTACCAGTGGCATTTAAATATTTGTGAAATTTAAAAATTGTAACTGCAGTTCTGATTCATGGGTTGTCAAAGAAAGCAGAGGACATAGGTGAGAGATACAAGAACATTTTCTTAAACACTTGTGCCACGTGAAGGTTATTCTGGCATATTTTGGAGGATTTTTTAAAGATTTCTTAAATTATGAACCATTAAAATTCTTATTTTGCTTGGTTGGTAGTTGTCAGGCATGCTTCCAGCTTTCCAGTGTGAAAGTATAAGGGCAATACTCGTCTTCCTCACCTAATGGGTGCACTTAAATTTCTGTTGTCATTAGCAGACTGGGCAACCATTTCAATCCCTGCTTCTCTAAATTGTCAATCGAATCAACTAGAACCCTCAAAACCTAAGGAGAGACGAAGTCAAGGTGACTCACACATACAAAGAATCAAGTGTTGTTATCCCCCATCCCTGTGGCTAGTTATGGTTGTACAAAATTCATGTCAGCTGTCGTTATTATATTTCCTTTTAGTCGGCTCAATTCTAAGGAACAACCCTTTGAGATGGCTGCTTTACAAATCAGAATACTGGAACTCAGAAAGGCTGAGTAACTTGCCTGAAATCATAGAGCTGGAGTATGATAAAGCTAGGATTTGCACTTAGATAAATCTGATCTCACAGCTGCGTTCTTTCCATTGCATCACAAAGAATAGTTAGTGCTTTGTCTTGCTTAATGATAAGCTGTCAGTCTTTCCTCATTTTTGTCTTTCCTTCTACAGGGGGAAACTCAGTGTTTTTGTCTTTTCTTTCATCCTTTTTGAGGTCAGTGAAAGGTGTCTACTATGAGAAAGGATCGGAGAATTGATATCCTGGACTTAAAATATTTCATTCTACATGGCACAGCATCATTATGAAACACACAAGTATCAACTCTATAGGGAAAGTAACCTATTAATAATGCTATAGCAAAGTGTTCTGCCCATGGACAGTATTGGTGCATTGACTTGAAATTGTACGTGTTTAAAAGCATGCTGGTTGAAACAATCTCTGATTTTCTTTGTATGTGGCTTTCAGGATCTACAAAAGGGGCAGGTTGGGCAGATTTGAAGACTGATACTAAAACAGGTAATTCATCTTTTACATTCTAAAGGGGGAACAAATGTTTATTGACCACCTATGACAATATATTATTTATATCACCTATTTGCATATATTATCTCACTTAGTTCTTCAATAAACTTCTATGCAAGTATTATTTTAGAACATTTAACACTTAGTACTAAAAGTTACCATTTATTATGTCAGCAATGTGTTAAGTTCTTTACTTGTGCTTTGTCAGTGCAGTCCCAGCAATAACTGTTTAGCATAGTCCAATAGAACTTTTCCATGAGAATGGAAATGTGCTATATTTTCACTATCCATTCTGTGGTAACCACTACAGTACTTGAGTACTTGAAATGTGATTAGTACGACTGAGGAAGTGAAATTTGAAATTTTATTTTAGTCAATTGAAATTTTAATTTAAATAGCCACCTGTGGCTAGTAACTACTGTATTAGATAATGTGGCCCTTGCCAATAATATTAAGCCCATTTTTCAGAGGAAAAACTGATTCAGATAAGATAAGGAAGCTTGTCCAAGTTCATACAATTTTATAAAAAAGTTTTTGAGCAGAAGAATGTTATAGGAATGTTCATTTACAGTGCACATAGGATGGATGGAGGGGAAGGAAAACAGTTACACTGAGAGAATTGAGACTGACTTGAGGGGTTACAGTGGGAACTGGGAGGAAGAATGGTTGCAAATGACAAGGTAGAATTGCCATCACTTAGTGATGGCATGTGAGGGCTTTGGAAGAGAGAACCTAAGGTTACTTCGAGGTCTTAGAATCTGTATAACCTGGGGAAATGATAATACTGTTTACTGAAACAGAAAATTTATGAACCTTTTTGGAGTTTAAGAGGAGTTGGTTTGGGCTGTTTGATCATTCATAAAATATTTATTGAGCAAGGCCCTCTGCTGTGCTGAGGTAAAGAAGTGGAGTCCCCATTAAGGATTTTATCCACTTAAGACACCCTCCTACATTTTCACCCTGTGGAAGATAATGAGCTGCAGAGATGAGCAAATCCAGTGTTCCCTGGGGCAGGGCTGCTTATTTCCAGATGCAAAGGGATTAGGGAAGGTGTTGTGGGTGGAAAATGGTATTTGAGCTTGATTTTGAAGATCAGGAAGGATTTAGACATGCAAAAGGATTAAATGAGGAGGAGGTAATGCTTCTAGCAATGGGGTGGACAAAATGTTTTGAAAATCCCTTTATCCAAAATGCCTTAATGCTGAATAAATTATATTAGCCTTTTAAATGCGTAGCAGATCTTGTAGGAAAGAAAGGGAGACCCCCAGGGCTAAAAAGACAGAGAGCTGAGACCAGAGTAGTAAACCAGCAGTGTGTCTTCTTTGGGGGCATTTGACTGGTAGCAGAAATGAAGCACAACTGGGGATAGGTGATAGGCTGCCCCTGCTCCCTAGCCTAAGTAGATAAAATCATCTCCCTTTGACCTCCCAGGTGTACAACTGCTGGAGGCACTATTCACATGGTAGTTTGTGTAAATAGTACCTGTGTTTCAGGGGATGACTTTTTCATAAAAAGTAAAGTGTAAATATTTCTGCTTGAAATTGTACATCTCATGGCGTTGGACGAGCCCCTTCCCCCAAATTTAGCCAGAACCCTCAAAAATCTATATAAAATCATGGAAGATGGGCTAGGAAAAGTACCTCCTTCGTGGCACAGGGAGATCACAAAGAAGTGTGTTCATTTTCACCATAGCTCCAGGTGGGGGAATAAAGGTACCATCTCAGAACAGCAGCTGTTAACGGAGAACAGCATCAGGTATTAGACGTCGGTCCTTGAGTTGGGCTAAGAAAAGCATTCAGAGCCAAGCAGCTCAAATACAAGCGAAAGTTTAGAAAGTCACAGGGGTAGAAGAAGTGAGCCAGCAAGGCTGCATGGACCAGAAAACAAGTTATGGAGGCGAAAAGAAAGGCCCTTGGAGCTTAGGAGAAAGAGAAGCAAAGAAAACATAACTAGGAGAACGGCCCAGGTGTGCTTCAAAGAGAGAGAAAGCGCAAGCCTGCTGACCCTTCCTCTTATGGGCTTTTATCTGGAGGTCTGGGGAGGATCTCAATAGAATATTCATCAGCTTTCCAGGTATGACTCCTCAGCGTCCCAGTCTCCACTGATCGGTTGGCCCCAGAGCAGGGGAACTTTAGTCATCATAGCTTGTCCTGGTGTCCTCCATGGCCATGGAATTGCCCCACCTGGCCTTGCTGCTTTTCTGGGCCTGGAGCTGATACACAACTGAGACCTAGATGTTATCTCCCAAAACTGTGGTTAGTGGACCTCAGGCTTTGTTGCTAAGATTATTTGATGTGGGTCAGAACCTCATTGTCCTGAGGACTCAAGGCCTAAAGGAGTGGTCCTGCAAGGGCTTGTGTGGGAGTCTATGAGGCTTTCCTCCTGCCTCCTTGTTCTTCCTCTAAGGGGGTCTACCACAGGATTAGTGACATGGCAGGGAAGGATCTGAACCGTGGCCTATGATATGGAAGGCCAAGGAATCTAAAATGCATGACCAGTAATGGGTTAGGAGAGGAAAGGTCACCCTGAGGGTGAGGTCCCACCCTACCATACTTGTCCTCCCAGTTCTGCCCGTTGCTAGGCACCTGGGGCTTTTTACCCTGGTGAGCTTCTGTACCTGGCTTATCTGTCCTGCTCTGCTCATGTCTAACTGCTTACTCTGTCAAAACTACAGGATCTGCCTTTACCCAGATTCAAGGTTGAAATTGACATATCTACATGAGCTAAAAAACTCGGAAGCCAAGAAATTACAGTTGGCCCCAGTTGGTAACATGTCAGCATACCTAGCAAAAATAAATACGGACCCTTAATCTCATCCTTTTAGGGTACTCCCAATTGAACTCATCATAAAAAACCTTAAAACTCATGTGCAAGGGTTGGCAGAACCAACACATGGTACTAGACTAAGGATTTTATATTAGAATTATCAGGAGCAATTCAAATAACACTTAAAGAGTTGAAAGGAAAAAAATTAAAGATTTTAGAAGTATTTTAGTTCATCATTTATAGAAATTGAAAATTATTGTCCCAGAAACTTATGCTGGGGAAAGAAAGCACTATAGGAATTTAGTGAGGAATTGTCATAATTAACTGACTAGATGAAGAAAATTGATGGAATGTCAAGGACTGACAAGGGGAAAGGACAGAAGGAGGAGATGATAATTCGGACAGGAAATGACTCAAGTCTATAATGGTGGCATTAGGGACAAAGGAAAAGAAACTTGCTTGTCGAGATTTAAATATACATATTTAGCAATAAGTCAGATGATCAGAGTAAATGCCAAGACAAGTCAAAAGTGACTGAGATTTTTTTATTTGGAAAGTCAGTCTGAGATGATGAAGCTGAACACATGAAGAGTGGGTAGACATAAGAGTTGTAAGTTTTTTACAAAGTTCATGGGAAATGGTAAATTTCAGTCCATTAAACTATGAGAAGATACTCCTCCAAATAAAATTACTTTCACATGCATATGAGTAATTTCTTATAATTTGAAAGTATTTCTGTATTTTCAAACATTAAATGCAGGAAGAGACAGTTATGTTTTCTAATTCACATCAGCTCATTACTGCCTACCGACGTCCTCAGTCTGGCAGGTAGGGGAGAAAGTGGTGATGTGTGGCCTTTGTGTATTTAAGTTCTCTCTTTTTTCTCCCCTCTCCTGTAGGAGCTGGAAATACAATGGTGAACAGAACAGTTGGTTCCTGCTCTCATAGAACTTAAAGTTTGGTGTGGAAGATAAAATCAAACAAGCAAGTAACATATACGTGTTGTGAGTGTCCTGGTGGGAAGTAGAGGGTGCTGTTGGGAAGAGAGCAGGGACACTCAGCTGAAGAAGGGCTGAGGCTTAAAGATGTGTAGGAGGTAACTGGTGGAAGTGGGGAGGGGGGGATAGCACTGTAGTTTACTCCCCCAGGCAGTATGGTGTGCATGAAGGTCCCAAGGGGCACAAGAGAGGACGGCACATTTGAAGATCTGAAGAAGCTTGCTTTGGCCTTATAGCATAGTGATTGGTGTTAGACTGGAAACGCCGGAGTCTGAATCCTGTCTCTACCTCCCTGTGACCTTGGGCAATTCTCTTAACCTCTGTAATTCTGTCTTGAGGAGTAAATGAGATCACATATTGAAAGTGCTTTGTAACATTACTGACACAGAGTAAACACTGTGTTTGCTTTTGAACTGAGAGCAGACAGAGTGGCCAGAGAGGAGTATGAAAAGTAAGCAGAGATCAGACAGTGCAAGGACCTTATAGGCCGTGTTAAGGAAGAAAGAGTTTATGAGGGCATAGGGGAGCACTGAAGGATTCTTTGTGGAAAAAGGTGGTCAGATTGGCCTTGTAGAAGTAGAAGGATCACTGGGTTTTGGGTGGAGTCTAGACTGGTTGTGGTCCAGACGCAAGGAAGACTGTTTAGAAGCTAATAACAAGCTGGCCAAGAAATGATGGTGGTTGAGGTAGGATAGTGGCAGTGAAGATGGAGGGAAGAGGTAGATACTAAGGAAAGTTAGAAGGTGAAATAAACAGTCCTTGGTACTTGATTTTGTGTGGAAGGATGGGAGAGAGAATGATTCTGGATCTGGCAAGTGGGATCTCGGTTTCATTTACTGAGAAGTCGAAGGAGAGCAGGTATTGGTAGGTGGCGTGGGGATTTGGTTTCAGAAGTGGAGCAGCTCAGGGTGCTAAGTCCAAGGTTGGGGAGTGGACGGCTGAAGAATAGATGAAACTCTTGTGAATAACCTTGGCCGATGTGTCTTTTCCTACTTCAGAAGACTGTTTGAGATGTGGTGGTTCCAGCAAGGCCTCAGTTTCCTTCCTTCGGCCCTTGTCATTTGGACGGCATCCGCTTTCATATTTTCATACATCACTGCCATTACTCTCCACCATGTGGACCCTGCTTTGCCTTATATCAGGTTAGTGGGATGTGTTCTACAGGAGTGCGTTTATGTCTCACCCATATTTGAACATTGAAGCCAAGATGTAACGTTAGCATTTTAAATTCAATTTTTGTGTTTGGCAGTACAAAGATGAGAGGAACATAATAAGGGAGTTGTACCTGGTTCTTTACCTGATGGAGAAATGTGGAGACAGGGCTAAGACTCGGTTGGGGAATTGTTTAGTGAATTGTGACATATCAGTGCCTTGTCTTCCAAATAAGTATGCAAAGTCATCTTGGGAGATAGAATTGGAGTTACTCTCCCCTTCAAATTAAAAGTTTTACAGTCAACAATAATAATATTGAAAGATAATATTAATGACAAACATTTCCTTTTCTACTTGCTGTGTACAAGGTAATACTGTAAACATTCTTCAGATCTTAAATAATTGAGTCCTTATAGCCACCCTTTAAGGTAGGAGCTACACCCTCCACCTGAGGGAATGAGGTCCAGAAAGGTTATTTGTCCAATGGGACACGACACAGTAAGTGATGGAACCAAGATTCTGTTTCACTGGGCATTCTGACTGTAGAGGCCATGCTCTTACTGCTTATAACATGTTGCCTAGATCTTTCTGACACGTTAAGTACCAAAATTTATCGCTAATATTTTTGAAATTTCAAAATTCCTAATGATAAAGTATAGGTACTCAATTTCATGTATGTCTATACCCTTTTTTCCAATTATAAAGGCAATATGTGCTTATTCTAACACATTTTAAATAATACTAGAGTGACTATAAAAACAAAAAGTTGACCTCCCTCTTCTAACCTCCCCTTAGTCCTTGCCTCCACACACGTGATGAATGGTTGGGTGGATTGCCTTCCAGAGTTCGGCCTGTTTGGGTGTTGCTGGAGTTGTTTCATTTATGAATTTGTTTACCTTCTGAAAAAGTAACCTTCAAAAGGATGGTAAACTAAAAGGCTAAAAGTGTTTTTTATAAATGGTATGACACAAGGATTATCAACAAACTGGGTGCACTTGGAGTAGATTTACAAATCTGAAGATATTTTTCTGTATAAGGTTCCAATTCTAGGGATAATTTGATAGCTCATCACCGATATTATTATTCTGCTAGAGGCACATGTAGCATAAGGAGCCAGTTCACTCTTTAGTAACTCGAAGAGAAGACACATGGAGAAGATTTATGTGTGTCCTTCAGCGTTTTTATTTCCACTTCGAGAACGTGTCTGCTTTCATTTTAAAGAGCTTTAAATAATCTAGAGGCCATTTGAGTTCTTTTCGAGTTTCAGTTCTCTGAAGGTACTGCATGTGATTTTCTGACCGATAGTCCCCTAGACACTTCCTTTCCTGTCCCTGTCCTCCTGTCTTTTTTTTCTTTCTGCTACTGAACTTAGTATTATTACCCTAGGATCTTTCCCCAACATTATAATATATTCAAACTCAGTGGTACTTATTTTGACTTCTCTTAAGCTCATTTCCTTACATGATCAGACTTTTTTTTATGGTGTGTAATCAAAATAGTGTGCTGGCCACTGGGTTGAAGGGCTGTGCTCACGAGGTAGTGGGTGTGGCTATTTTCATTTGGAGCCCAGTGTGTCATTGTGCTCCATTGCCAGCCAACTTGGAAATGCAGGCTTTTGTTTACTCTTGTGGTGATCCAAAACAAGAGCATCATTTGGAATTCAAGTATTAAAATCGTGGGGTTTTTCTGATTATAAGAATAATATGTATACATTATTCTTGAAAACTTGAAAGGTAGAAGGAACAACAGCAACAAAAAAACATGATCCCCACTCCCTGAACGTGATCAAAGAGCAACAGCATCTGTTGTGTCTGAAGATACATGTTCGAGTAAGAAGGAGCAGGCCTTCCAACATAGTTGACACTTTACTTTTTGTAAACGTAATCCAGATGTTCACCAAGTTGTCCTGATGCCTTACCAGAAAGGACTTGCCATCCCTTTTTATTCTCATTACATTGTCTTAGTTGAGATCCTTATTGTCTCTTTCCTACAGTGCTTTAATTTGAGGTCAAAAACATTGTCTCTTTAATCTTTACAGTAGTTTGAGGGAAGGGAAAGGAAGCAACATTTACTGGGTCTCTGGTGTGCCTGCTACTCTGATATTTCACATACATTACCACAGTTTCAGTTCCTCATGGCCATCCGATGAGGCCGGGAAGAAGTTAATAGCTCCATTTTGCATAGTCTTAGGGAGATAAAGGAACACACCCAAGGCCACAGTTAGTAAATAATGGGCTGTTCATCTGGATCTGTGTACACAAGACTGCCCTGAAAGACGGGCATTGCAATGCATTGTAGCCCGCTTTAACAGAAGTCTGGACAGAATGCTATGTGTCAACATTGAGAGGACTGATCAAGGCCACAGAGAGGTGGGGGCTCAAAACTAGGGCTTTGTCTCCTTTACTTACTACCATATTCCTGTCCCTAAAATGCTGTCTGGCACAGGGTAGGTGCTTGATAAATAGCTTTTGATTAATCAGTAAATGAGTAGATGTTAATTGAGTTATAGGCAGAGTCAAGAGCAGATAACCAGACAGAGTTGTGAAAAGATCTGTGATGTTTAGAGAATATTCAGGAGAGACAGATAAACGTATCTGCCTGACTGTCATAAGTCAGGAACACATCATTAATGTGCTTTTTTTTTTTTATCAATTTACATTGATTTCTAGTATGTGAAAAAATCTTAAGTGATATGAAAAAAGTGAACTAGGCAAACATTGTGAGCCTAGATTGCTGTGTTCCATTATGCGATTGTAAGAGTTGAACCTACGGATTTATAAAAAGATAAAGGACTTGAAGTAACTCCTGGTATTTCTTATCCCTTAGAAGAGATATCATGTGAATCTAGTGTCAGGAATCCACACACTATATCATCTTCTGTTTTCTTTCAGTGACACTGGTACAGTCGCTCCAGAAAAGTGCTTGTTTGGGGTCATGTTAAATTTCAGCGCAGTTTTATGTAAGTAATGAGAATGGTTTTAACGATCAAAATGAATCGCTGCTTTTCCCCTTTCTTCTTTAGACAATACTTTGTTAGTTGTTTTACTTTTTAGTTACTACACTTGAGGGAATGCTATCACTAGATTATCAGTCCTAAATGTGTTCCTTTTAAAAGAAAAGCAACTTCTAGAAGTGCGGAATTACGGAGCTAAATCTTTAAAAACATTTTAGGGCTGTTTGACTCCTCATTCAAATGCAAGTTGTGAAGTATAACTGAGTCTTCCTTGAGGCCTCAAATGGGTCTCTTAAGCAGCCAGTAGAAGACAGCTGTCAGCACACCAACACGACTAATCCCAGCTAACCTCATTCAGGGTAAATAGTTCAGAAGTTTGAGAATAGCAGGGGACTGTGTTGTGATTTTTCAATGATATTCTAATGCCAGAGCAGTGGAGTTCTGCTACAGTATTTTATGTTCCCATTAATTACTTTTTAAACCAAGTTTTTATTAATGGTTCACTAATTATTGTTTTTTCCACCAAGGTGATTATTTGCATTCTTCCATAGAGTCAAAAATTAAAGTCAAATAAATGACTCAGTGTGCAGAAGTTCAAGTTATGACTAAAGTTTTCAAACACACATGTACAGAAGCATAGCTCTGCCACATTTTCTGTTCTATTGTGTTCTCTGGCAGTATTTCTGCAACGGAAGGTAGATTTGACCCTTCTTATTATTTGACTAATAAGAAAAAAGGGAAAAATCTCTGTTTCTGTATAGCGGTGACCTTTGCAAACTATTGGCAACTTTATTTCTTGTTATTTATTTTGTTGTTTCTTGGATTCTGTCTCTCCCAGGCGTTGCTACCATTTATGTTCGTTATAAGCAAGTTCATGCTCTGAATCCTGAAGGGAAATACGTCACCAGGTTAAACAAGGCTGGCCTCGTACTTGGATTGCTGAGTTGTTTAGGACTTTCTTTTGTGGCCAACTTCCAGGTTTGTGTTTTAACCCAACAGAGATATTTTCCTGAGGTACCTGAATATGTATGTGACCAGGAGCAGCTGAAACATTCACTTACATGCTGTTATTGTGTCTTTGCCTTAACAAAGACACAATGAGGCTGAGATAAGGCCGAGAGGCTGATGGCAGCCTGTCGCACAGTACCTTTGAGCTAATTAAGCAGTTTGGCAGGCCTGTCGCACAATACCTTTGAGCTAATTAAGCAGTTTGGCAGCTTCTCAGATTCTCTCCTGACTATCTTTTCATGCAACTTTGGACCCATAGAACCTTGAGCAGGGGGACAGCCTCATTCTGCATCATTCCTCTTCTAAGGCCCCCATTGTACATACACTGGCCTCTTTTTGTTCCTTAAGTGAGACCAGTTTACTGAACTCCAGTTTATGTTGTCTCTTCTGTTGGACACACCACACCCCCAAGTCTGATTAGATTTAGGCACCTTTCAGATCTCAGTACAGGCTGGCCTTCCTCAGGGAAGTCTTTTCTCTTGAGAGACTTGCTCTTATATATTTCAGGTTTTCTTTGTGTTCTCCAAACCTCTGGAAATTAATTCTTAAGACTCATTCATAGTCTAATTTGATATCTGTGTTTTTAAAATTTTATTTCAAAGAATTTTAGTTAATACATTTCTCCACTAATTACAAGCACAGTGGCTTGTGCACCTTGTATATTCAGCAGCTAAGCAGTGCTTAGCCAGACGTGCTCTCATTAAACACAGTAGCCAACTTCCTGAGGGAGGCTGGAGCGGCCAGGCAGAATAGATTTAAAATTCTCCTGCTGTTACTGTAGTCACCTGCATTTAAAGAGAGAGACCTAATTGCAATATGGCATTTGAAAAATCTGAGTTAAAAATACAAATTTAATTTCTTTGGAAAAAAATATGTGTAATAATAACGAGCAAAATATGTAGTAAGTGCACTTAGTGCCACTTAGAGGAATTTTTATCTTCTAGGGAATTTATCCTCAAGGAAACTTGGAAGGGATAAGTAGGCAGAAATCTATGTTAATTTCCTAGAGCTATCATAACAGAACATCACACACCAATTGTATATACCTCTGTTCTAATTAGAAAAATATAGCAATGAATGCCCTCCATTCTTTGTTTTTGCTCTTTAATTCACAGGATTTTGTTGATAGGACTGTGTACTGACCACAGTGGGCATTGATCAGGCTGCATCTGAATTTAGCTTCATCAATATATGTGACGATATAAGGAAAAACATACCCATTTTCCTGTTCTTAGCCTTAAAATAAATAATTTCATTTTTGCCTATATTTTTCCAGCTTTTAGCCATATGTATAGATAAATCCACATCATCATGAACTAAGAAAATATTACCATTTTGTATTACATTTTATGGATGCTGAATATTCTTTTTTTCCTTTGTTATACAAAGTGGTAATGACAATAAACTTTTCTCTCTCCCTAGTGCTCTTAACTTATTGCCAGTTTTGCAGTAACTTGAACCTAAATAAACATATTAAATAGATAATTACTATCATATTTTTAGTAGTGGCCTATGATATAATTTGAATTACTACAATCCACAGGTTTATGCTGAACACTATGAAAGAAAATGACCTCAGGAAGTAATTTGTAGAATCTGCAGAGGTTTTCCTCTCAGGGAATGATCTGTTCAAATCTCTCTGGCTTGTGCTTTTAGATACTGTGTTGGCAATGTGTGTTGAAGTTCTCTTATTTTCTTATTTCTTCTTTCTGCCTCTCAGAAAACAGCCTTTTTTACTGTACATGTATGTGGAGCTGTGCTCACCTTTGGTATGGGCTCATTGTATATGTTTGTTCAGACTGCCCTTTCCTACCAAATGCAGCCCAAAATTCATGGCAAACAAATCTTCTGGATCAGACTACTGCTGGTCATCTGGTGTGGAGTAAGCGCATTTAGCAGTATCCTTTGCTCTGAATCGTGGCTACACTTGGAAGGGACTTAAATAACAAAATGTAAGTGAACACTGTTGCCATATTGTAAGCAGTCCTTGTGTGTACAGTGAGATTCTTGGGTTAGTAACCCTAAATTCAAGGATCTGAAACATGAAATTCAGATTTTACATAGGACCTCAGTAACTGAGCTAGGAACAAAGATAATGTTTAGCCCAGTCATGCTCACTTCAAAGATGTTATGGGTGAGTCAATGCCTTCCCTGAGAGCAGAAGCTGGTGATAGAAGTGCTGAACTACTGAGCACAGGGGCATTGACCATGCGAACCATTTCATAGTGATCCTCTGGGCACACTGAAAAATTTCCTGCTGTGCAACATGAAGTCTTTAAGAACATGAGTTTGGACCTTGGAAACAAACGTGAGTAATCTTCTTGGACCTTTAAAGCAATTTTTGTTTTGAATCTAGTTGAAACTTGCAGCTCCTTTCTGAGAATCTTCCTTGACTGGCATTTCTCATAGTGCTGACTTGCTCGTCACTCCTGTATAGTGGCAGTTTTGGCTCAGATGTGGTACAGAAACTCCACTGGAACCCCCAGGACAAAGTAAGAACTTAGAGTCTAAGAAACTTAGTTTTCTATTAAAGGTGACTACTTGATGTAGTTTTCATTTCATCACTAACTGAAACATTTCCGTAGAATGGTCAGTTACATATTAGGATTATTTTCTATATGTGATGGAATTTATATAGAATAATCCGTATTCCTGTCACCTGTGGTCTGTGGACATTTTCGAGACATGAAGGGAATTGTGATGGCAAAGAGTTTTTTCAGATCTTCAAGATAAGGATATAGTATACAATATATGCAGTTGAGACCTTTTATCATTAGAATATTTGTTTTCTGAATTGAAAAAAATGTCTTTTCCCACCTTTTGTTACCTGGAAATGTATTATTATGGACTCTGCCTTTGGATTCCAATATAGTGGGTATCTGAATAGAGATAGTATCTTTGATCCTGAGGAAAAAAAGAGGAGGGACATATACTACATACATAATAAAATGAGTTTATCTGTTGTCACACACCGCTGAGTGGCATAAGAATCAGTCCTAAGAGGACATGTTTGTGGAAATGAATAAATGAAATAATTTACCACATTCTCTGAAGTATAATCCATATATTACTTAATGCTTTAAAAATAATACTAAGTTTATCATGAGCATTGTTTACTTAATAGTTTTGTTTTTTTGTATTTTTTTTTTTAATGAATCTGTGGCTTTGGAAAAAGTAACTTCTTGATTGTTGAGTAGAAGTTTCCTGTCTTATGGAACTTTTGTGTACTGTAGATAAAACTATGATAGCTAGATCACTTAGGAGGACTTTCCTAATGTCTGCATTTAATGCTCAAGATATGTTAAAATTAGGGTTTATATTAAATTTTTATTTGAGATAAATTATAGACTATTTGCATGAAATTTCACAGAATTACTTTTTTTTCGTTGTCACTCAAGGGCTATGTGCTTCATTTGATCACTACTGCATCAGAATGGTCTATGTCATGTTCCTTCTTTGGTTTTTTCCTGACTTATATCCGTGATTTTCAGGTAAGAGCACAGAATTAGGTTTATACTGTCAAACTTCCTGCAGGTGGAATACGAGAACTTTCTAAAGGCAAGTTTCCAGCCTTTCCAAAATTAACTTCATAAGCCATGAAGCCAGAAGAGAAGCTTTTCACACAAATTGTCTCTGCATTTGCAGATAGTGTATTACTAGCAAGATTTGGCTCTGAAAAATAGGGATGTAAAACAATCACGTTTGTAGAGATTCTTTTACAGAATTTTCATAACTCTGCTTACATGTACGTTGGCCATCCTGAGCATTTGCTTTTACTGATTCTTCATAGAAATGAAAGAAAAATGAAGGTCCAAATAGAGAAGCTTGGTTTTCCCAGCTCTATTAGTACTAAGGATGGTGTCTTTGGCAGTTCAACAGCTGTCTCATTCTTGTTACTCATTAGAATTGATTTATATTCCTAATCCCAAAAGATTTTCCTCTGAACTAATTGAAGATGTCATCTGTCATTAAGGAGCAAACTTCTGTATATAATTTTCTTTTCTGTTCCAGAAAATTTCTTTACGGGTGGAAGTCAATTTACAAGGATTAACACTCTATGACACTGCTCCTTGTCCTGTTAACAATGAGCGAGCACATCTACTTTCCAGAGATTTATGATAAAAGGATAAAACATTTCTGTGATGATTATGATTCTCAGGGATTGGGAAAACGTTCATAAGTTACTTCTGCTCTGAAATTTTCCACCAATTAATCAAGACTGCCAGTGACATTGATGGGTCCTGATAACCAAGAGACATGAAGTAAGCCATTTTATAATTAATTTAAAGGATATCTTCAAGAGGATCATGTAAAACCATTTATGCCTATACTTTTTTTTAATCCCAGGAAATAAAACCAAAGGACTATAGCACTGTAGATTTTTTTTCCTACTTTAAGTGAAGTACCAGAAGTGCACCGAGCCGTCTGCAAGGCCCAGCCTTTCATGTTTGAGAGATTATTGTAAAGCATGTTTTGTTTGGAGCACTTTTATGTGATACATTTTCCAGGACACCCAAGTAATCAGCAATGCTCAGCAGCTCCTTTAAAATTGTGTTTTGCAGTAATAGTTTTACCATATTTATACATTTCTTACAGTCTTTGTACAACTCTTTTCTGGAATCCACTTAGGAAGGGAAGCAGCCCTGGATTCATGTGAGCACCGTCTTTGCTTAAGCTTTGCACAGGAGATTTTGATTCCTGCCACAAGGCCAGATATTATGCTAACTGGTCTGTCACTCATAGTTGCAGTAATTTCATGAAGCTTAGTCTCTGCTGTGAGATTTTAATAAAAAAATGAAAGGAGTAGCTATAATTAAATTTACTCCAGTCATGTTTTACATAAAATGAAGGTTAGTGTTCATTCACAAGGCTGAGAAGTTTGTGAACAACAGCAGATATCATTAATAAAAGTTACCTTAAACTGTAGTCCAGAGTTTTTTAGATTTTCCTTTCTAGTAAATTATAATTACTTGTAAAAGTAGCCTTGAACAGGCAAATGTTGAGCCTTTTTATTGGGATGTGATTTTTGTAGAACTCAAATTCTAAAGGACAAAATTAGCAGTTGGAAAAAACTAGGTACAAAATAATTGTGATACATCTCTCTGGTCATGCAAGTGATTGGATAGCTTGTACCTGAATTCCTATCTATGCAGATAAAGAATGGTTTATAGATCCCAGATAAAATTCAAAAGAAGAAAATGCTCATCTGGAAGGTGCCCCTTAACAAACTGGTTTGCAAAAGAATCCTTGAAGATTAACAAACTTTATCTTTTTAGAAGAAATGGTTCTACAGCCAGAATAAAAGATGGTGAGAACAAGTTAAAGTCTAAGAGAAAGCAATTTAAGGGAAGATGGTTATATGGTGGAACCAGAGAGCTTGATCATGAATACATTGCGAGAATAGGGCTATATAATGTTTCTGAAGACTTCTGGACTGACAAGATGGAATAAAGTACTCTATATCAAGCAGCAGTGAACATGTGAGACATTTCAATAAACACTGATTGACATGACTAGGAAAAATGTGGGTCCAAAGTATAAAAAATTGTTATGTCTCTTCAAATCATAATGTGACCACACCTGGGAAACAGCATCCAGTACTGATTGCTCTATATCAAAGAAACTAATTCAATTATGAAGACCACAGTATGGTGGAGAAATTGATAGAATCAAAGTTCATAAAGTTATGAATTATGTGTGGACACAATAGCACAGGGAAGAATGTGGACTTGTATATCCATACTAGAATATCAGGTTTAGAGATATTCACTAACACATTAAAGAAATTATTTTAAAATAAAAATACTACTTTGATAGTGTTTTCATTTATTTAACTTTTACCCTTAGAAATAACAGAGGTTCAAATATTGATAAGTTCAAAAAGGGATTATAATTAGAAATTGTGAATATGTGTATCCCTTACCTTATGGCTGAAGTAATGGAAGATAACCATATATGCCCTGGAAATATACCTCAATTGCACTTTCAGATACAGGAGATTGGATGAACAGATAAGGCACTTTTCTTTAATTCAGTTAACATTCTCCTATTGAATGTTTAGCTTTAAAAATAAGAGGTTTTAAACTGACAAAATTAGCAGATACTGTGAACTGATAATGAAAATCTGTCTCCTTTTTGTCTTGGGTAAATAGCAAGATGATCTTTCCCAGACTCCTTTTCAATTAAGAATAGGCATGAGTCCAAATTTTAGCTGGTAAAATATAAATGAAATGGGTGTGTTTGAAAAACAGGAATTTTTTCCAATTTCTTATGCCAGTTGGATATTGATTGGATAAACAAGATTTTAAGAGATGGCACAGTCACATGGTAAAAGGAGGCTGCACTAGTCCACTTTTAACCAGATTTTAGAAAATCAGACCAGTGATCTAATATAATTTAGGAATTCTGTTTTCATCCTTCCCAGTGACTAAGATTATATTGTATATTTCTTGAATAGTGTCATATATCATAAATGCTTCATGGGTTTATGAAAGAGAAAGACAGCTTTTGTTTTCTGCAGTGTCCTATACAGACGCACTGTGAAATGAAGTTCAATTATTATTGACTTATTAGTGTCCTTAGTAAGTCCATGATGTACATCTTGCCTCTTTTTTACCAACCACAGTGCTGGTTTTAGAAAGAATGTACTCATTTATTAGGAAGAATATTTCTGAGGCATTGTGAGTCTTAACAGTAAGCAAGTCTTATCTGCCAAAAGGTATGGTAATTTGAAAGAGTTCACCTGCTCAGAAAGCCTGAGTAGAATACAGAGAGAATGCCTGAAATTCAGCTCAGCGGAAAAGCCCAAAGATTTTACTAAAATCTCACCAAATCTCAGATCCCAATCCCTGCTGAAAGAAAATTTGTTCGCTTTAAACATTTGAAGTAAGCGGTAAAGTGAGTCAAACTAAAACAGCAACAAAGCTCATCTCCACCTCAACTTCAGAACCAGTTAACTCTCCACTCTAGTAGTTCGACAAAGGAACAGGCATGCCCTTTTCTGGAAGTAACTTATTTATTTTCAAACCTACTCTTGTGCAAAATATCCAGCATACAGTAAAAAATTACAAGACATGCAAAGCAGGAAAATTTGATCCAGAGAGGAACCAGTTAATAAAAGCAAACTCAAGAGGTTTCCCAGATGTTGCAATAATCAGAGGTAGATAATCATGATAAAAATGCTAAAGGATCTAATAAAAAGGGTGGAAAACATGCATGAAAAGATGACTTTCACAAGAGACGTAAACTTCGAAAAACACAAAAATTGTACAACTGGTTATGATCATTACACATAGAGAAAAGAATCAATAAACTTGAAGATGGCATTTGAAAGTATAAAAACTTTTATTAACCAGTGTCACCCCAATAAATTCAGTAAGGAAAGACAAGATAAAAACTGAAACTTGAAGAGAAGAATGAATGAAAGTAAAAATACAGTATATGGGTTTGGAAGGCAAACTCAAGTGGCCTTATGTCTTGTAATTGAGTTTCAGGAGAGGTTGACGAGGATGGTATGAAGAAAAGTTTGAAGTGATGTTGACAGAGCTTCCCCAAATTGGTGGAAGTTAATGAAGAGAAAGATCAACAAAATTGAGTTTTAAAAAAATGATGAAAATTGATGAACACCTAGCAAGACTAATATCTGGGGTTGAATAGTACTCCCCTTCCCCCCCCCCAAAAAAAGTCATTTTCATCCAGACATTCAGGATGTGATTGTATTTGGAAATAGGCTATTTGCAGATGTAATTAGTTATGGTGAGATCATACTAAATTAGGGTAAGACCTACATTCAATGACTGGTGTCCTTTTAAGAAGACACATTGTGACAGAAGTAGAGAAGGTGAAGTGAAGACAGGCAGAGATTGGAGAATGTAGCCTGAAGCTAAGGAATGCCAAAGATTTCCAGCAATCTGAAACTAGGAAGAAGCAACGAAAAGTTCTCTCCTACAGTCTGTAGAGGGAGCCTGGATTTTGGATTTCTATCCTCCAGAAATATGAGAATAAATTTCTTTTGTTTCAGGCCACCCAGTTTATGGTAATGTGTTATGACAGTCTAGGAAATTTAAAAAACTGATCAAGAAGAAAAGAGAAAGCACAAATTACTATTGACAGAAATGAAAAGAGGGACATCATGTTATGGACAACTTTCTGCCAACAAATTCAACAATTCCGAAGAAATGGACACATGCCTTTTGAAATATGATTTGTCAAAAGTGATGCAAGAAGAAAAAAAAATCTAAAAATAGCTTCATATTTATTAAAGTATTGAATTTTTAATCACAAAAAAAGAAAACTCCAAGCCTTGATTACTTCACAGGTGAATTCTGTAAAATATTTAAGCTAGAAATAATACCAAGTTCTATACAGACTCTTTCAAGAAATAAAAGAATTTTTCAACTTGTTTTATGAGGCTGGCACAACACCCAGTATCAAAACTTGACAAATATATTGAACACATGCAAAAATACTTAACAAAATAGTAAGAAATAGAGCTTTTCCTATAACCTCCCACCCCACCCCCAGGGCCCAAGTCATCACAGCAAGTCCCAGAAACCCGGACATCAGTTGTGTGGGTGACCTGCACATGCCTGTACCTCAGATGCCCTTACCACAAGAGCAGATGTGCCTGTGCTCCAGGCATCACAGTAATTCTGCATGCTTCTGATCATAGTGCCCCAGTTTGGCTGCTGCTCAGAGTGCCATTGCTCCAGACCTGGCGTCAGAAGGGACCTTCTTGGCTATAGTTTTTTCACACAGACAAAAAGAACAGGAAGACCCAGCAGCCTTTCCACCAAGGACCCCAACATTTTTAGATGACTCTGCCACTGAAGATACCTGCTGCCCTGTATACTGAGGATTTTCAGTCTTCAGTGACATCAACTATAGGTGATTAAGCTACAAGGTGATTAAGCTACACCACAATGCCCTCCCCAGAACTGAAAACTGCACCCCACCACCTGGTGCCTTCACAACTACCTGCAGCCAATCTAAAAGGGCTGGAAGCCAATCTAAAAGGGCTGGAAGAGGTGATTACTCCCTCAAAAGTACAGACATGAAAACAAAACCATAAGAAACACAAAAAAGTAAAGAAATATGACAAAACCAAAGGAACAAAATAATTATCCGATAACTGACCCCCAAAATGGAGATCTACCAGTTGCTTGTAAAACAATTAAAAGTAATTATTTTAAAGAATTACAGGGATTTTAAAGTTAACACAGACAGCTCAGTGAACTCAGGAAATAATAGACATAAAAAGAGAAGTTCAGCAAAGAGAAATCATTAAAAATAAAAGAACCGGCTGGGCTAGTGTTGATCAGTGGTTGAGCATCCACCATGAACCAAGAGGTCACCAGTTTGATTCCCGGTCAGGGCACATGCCGAGGTTGCAGGCTTGATCCGCGGTGGGCAGCTGATTGATGTTTCTCTCTTGTTGATGTTTCTGTCTCCCTCTCTAAAATCAATAAAAACATTTAAAAATAAATAAGTAACCAAGCAAAAATGCCGGAGCTGAAGAATACAGTGAACACAATGAAAATTACTATAGAGAGCTTCAACAGCAGATTTAATCAGAAGAAAGAATCTATGAAGTTGAATTCAGATCTCTTTAAATTGTCCAGTGAGAGAAGAAAAACAAACAAAAAAAGAGTGAAGATAGCCTACATAATTATGGGACACCGTCATGAGACCAAATTACTCATTATGGAAATCCCAGAAGAAGGTGAAAGAAAGCAAGGTGGAAAATGCTCATTTAAAGAAACAATAGCTGAAAACTTCCCAAATCTGGGGTGAGATACTGACATCCAGATACATGAATTCTGAAGGTCTCCAGACAAACTCAAAGAGATCTTCAAGACACATTATAACCAGCTCTCAAAAATCAAAGATAAAGTGACAATTTTGAAAGCAGAGAAAGGAAATGGTGT